GCCCGCCGTCCCCGCCGCCGCCGCCGTGCACGGTGATGTTCCGGCGGATGTTCCGCACGGTCTTCTCGGACTTGGCGCGCGTGACGAGGAAGTTCCAGACCGGAATCATGTTGCCGCGGCAAATCCGGCGGATGGAGTCGACGGACGGGAGGTGCGACTTGCCGGCAGCGTAGGTGCCGAGCGGACGGTAGCCCATCTCCTTGTGCAGCCATTCCAGAATGGCCTCCGGCGACGAGGGAGACGGCGATGGCGCTGCGGTCTGCATGACTAGGACGCAGAGTGAGGCGATGGCATCGGGTGAGTCAGCGAGTCTTGACTCGTTCGAGTTGGCGGTGTTTGTTAGGGTTGGATCTGAGAATTTGGAGTGGTGGAGTTGTGTTGTGCTCTTCACACTCTCTCTGTTGCGTTCTCTTTTATTTTTTTCAGTGTCAAATTTTAAAAACGAATACTGATGGTGGTCAGGTGACGACGAAGCTCTCATTAAGGTTTTCGCCTTTCGGATTTTGAAATGCTTGTTTATACTCGACGTATTTTTAAATTTTAATAAATTTTATAAATAATAATAATAAAATAAAATATTTTTATTTATATTATTGATGAATATTTTTGTGAGATCCTTCTCGGCATTTCTTTTCCTTCCCTCTCAACAAACCAAAACTTCATTTTTCCTCTCTCAAGCTTCTTTGGTCTCATTTTATTCTCTTTTCTCTTTCCCAAGCTGAAGTTGTTAGCTAAGGTGGTACACATCTCCTGGAGCTTGTTGAGGAGCGGAACTTTCTTTTCTCCTTCTCCATTTTCTCTCTTTTTCTTGTTTCCGGAACTCAGAATCGTCTAACCGAAGTAAGGAAAGCTAGGATTTCTTGCCGGTTGTTTGATTTAGTGAGCTAGGACTCACGGATTTGCTGAAATTTCAAAGACCTTGAGCTGTTTTGGATGAAAACTTGTTTTGGGGTTTTCGGGGTTTTTGGGTGAAAATTTGGGATTTTCATGTTTTGATGGTTGCATGTGGGTAAAGCTGGGATTTTTTGGGTTATTTGATGAAAATGTGACATTTTGGCTGGTTTGCATGTGCTTGGGAAGTTGATTTTGTGTAGGTTTTGAAGAAATTTTTGAAGTTGGAGGGTTCCTGATTGAGAGCACGCCGGGCGCAGTTCTTGGCGCCGGGCGCGTGACCATCAGAGGACTCCATTGGTCGAGCACGCCGGGCGTAAGATTGTGCGCGCCGGGCAAGCTTGAGGATGGATGTCCCTGGATGGCTCACGCCGGGCGTGGTTGGATCACGTTGGGCGCGCTATCAGTTAGTGATCCACTCTTTTGTGTTTCTGGTGTGGCGCCGGAAGTGACTATGTCTCGCCAGACATGGAGACTCCTTGGGAGTCTCTACCAGAGGTGGCGCCGGGCGCAACTGATATTGTGCTGGACGTGAGACCTTGGGGAGGTCTCTGTCTACCCTGCGCTGAGTGCGGGTTTGGCACGCCGGGCGTGTGAGATCTTTTGAGGTCTCTGTCTCCTAGCACGTCGGGCGCTATGGGAATTGCGCCGGGCGCGTTTGAGCCCTGGTGCTCTCTGGTTGGACCACGTCGGGCGCAACTATGAGCACGCCAGGCGCGGAGATGATAATTGATGTTATGCTAATATGTGTTGGATGATGCTGATAGATGTGGAGAAATGCTAACAAATGTTGTTTTATGCTAAGCTGAGCTGTTATTGACGAATATTGTTGAACTGAATAATAATATTGTTGTGTTGTGAACTATTAATGCTGAATTATGATGTATAAGTTGTGCTATATGTTGTTATTGTTGTATGCTGATATTGCTGATTTGTTGTGCTGTTGTATGCTGATATAAATTATTGTAGGGCGTAAAGCTAAGCTGTTGTAGGTCGTAAGACTGAGCTGTTGTAAGCCATAAGGCTGAGCTGTTGTAGGCCGTAAGGCTGAGCTGTTGATCACTAAAACTGGAGGAGATGTTTTTCGAAATTGTTCATCCTATTGTGTGGATTGAGGTAGCTATGGTTAGGGATGACAACTATACCCGTACCCGCGGGTAATACTCGAACCCGTCCCAATTTTGACGGGGAATACCCGGTTTGACCGGGTACGGGTACGGGTAAAACCCGATATATTAAATCGGGTACGGGTACGGGTACAAATATGTACTTACCCGCCCATACCCGTACCCGTTCCCGTTCCCATTTTTAATTTAATACCCACTTTCAATTTAATTATATTAAAAAATATTAATATTTTTTTATGTGTGATTATTTATTATAGTATGAGATAGATAAATAATTTAATTATAATTATAATATAATAAAAAAATAATTTAAAAATATCATTTTAAAAAATAAAAAATAAAAAATAAAAAATAAAAAATTTAACAGGTATGGGTACGGGTACTAGTATACCCGATACCCAACGGTACGGGTACGGGTATACCCGATACCCGACGGGGATGAGGATGGGGATGAAAATCCCATACCCGACGGGTACGGGGACGGGGACGGGGACGGGTTTGGGTTTGACTTGCGGGGACGGGGACGGGTATCATAAAACCCATACCCGCCCCGCCGCATTGCCATCCCTAGCTATGGTGCTCTTAGAGCCCAATTTTTTGAAAACCCTCCCTGGAAAGCTAACCCTTGGAGTGGTAACTTTGTTGTTCTCCTCTAAGTTCTTAGTAGTCCCGTGTGTGGGCAAGGTCGAGGAACACGTGTATAAAGCGACCATGGTATAGGGGCCAGGTCGAGCTATACCGATTACAAGCAACCAATTCTAGCTAATATGCGTGACGACACATTGTTTGTTTACTGCTGTTTATGCTGTATATGTGATGAGTTGTATGCTAATGATGTATTGATAGTTGTAGCTGTTTACCATTCATGTATTTATATATATGTATGTTGATTCTTTTCACTAGCTTACCCTTTGTTGTTTCCATGTGGTTTGGATTGCGATAATCATACATTGTATGGGAGCAGAGCAGAGTTAGGTTGGTGTCTAGAGGCAGGCCTGCAGTTGACAGATGGAATTTGGCTTTTGTTGTTTTTGGCCACTAGTTGGCTATTTTGGATGTACTTTGTATACTGAGCCCCAGGCTAAACATTGTGTATATATTTATTTTTATATATACATGTTCTTTTCTGTGGGGTGCTGTGTGTTGTGCTGTGTGTGGCGGCCAGGCGGGTCGTTACACTTTTATTATATGAAATAGTAGAAAATAAATAGTTCTTAAAAACAAAATTATATAAGTAACTTTTAAAATATTAAAAATTTATGGATGAGAGAGTAAGGACTAAATTTTTTGAAATTATTTGTATAATTTTATTATTTTAAGAATTATATATGAGAAGTAATATTTTAAGAGTCTAATTGTTAGTTTATTCATATTTTTACTAATGTGATAGATTATTATTTAGAAAAATGATACTTGTATAAGTGCAACTAAAAAAGCAGAGAATAATAGGTTTGTGCATTTGATTTTTTCTCTCTTAAAAAGTATTTTTTTTAATAAAATAAGTATTTCTATATTTTTTAAGTTTGTCTAAATTCATTTTTCTAAATAATTATCTATTATTTAAAAATAACTCTTATTTATTTTAAAAAGTAATTTTATTTTTAAAATTTAAACAAATGGATTATAATTAAAAAATTCAGAAGAAGTAAATAATATTGTACAAATTATAATATAAATTATTATAGACTTCTCCATCCTTTATTAATAATATTACGATGTTTTTGACTATTTTAGTATAAAGATATAGTCATAAATAAATTTAATATTAGGCAAAACTTGTCACAAATAATTACGAAATGTAATCATGACGTGCCGGCTCATCAAATATTATTTTATAAAAGCATTATAATATGCTTTGAAATTTGAAATTGTTGCGAGGATATTCGATATTTTAATTGTTTGAAGAGGGCAAGAAATCGAAGAAAATGGGAGCAAATTGGTAAAAAAATTAATTTAATAAAAAAATAGATAAGACATAAATTGAAATATTGTGAAATCAGTAGTTCTTTGATAAGATGGAATCGTGTGAGAAATAAAAGAAAATTAATATTTTATATAATTCATTTTTTATATATAAATAAATAGATAATATAAATAATTTTGTATTTATTTTACTTTTTATAATTATATATATTTTGAATTAAAATATTTTTTGTATATAATTTAATAATATAATTAATTATGCTACTTTAATCCTTTTTTGTATTAATTATATAATGCATTAACATTTAAATATAGTGGAATATGATGAGTTCTATAATCCATTATTATCCAAACATAATTGAATATTTTGAATATGATGAGTGTTTTAATATTTAAAATGCATAATAGTGATCATAATGAAATATGAAATATTCATAATTGAATATTGTACTTCTAGAAACATCATATGACAATAAACTTTTGTTCATAGAGTTACTTCGTATGAGTCATGAGAGTGACAAATAATTAAATAAATACACATGAGTTTAGCTTGAAAAATTTAGATGATTGTTTCACAAATTTCACAAGAATTTCCATAATTGATAATGTATAAAAAAATAATAAGAAAAATCACTTTTAATTCTTCACAATTTCTTTTAAATACCTTTTATCAAACATAAGTCTTTTTTTATATAAAAAATCCACTCTAATTCATCTTTTCCCTATTAAATCAACCCCAACAAATAAAGAATAAAGGTGTAATTTATTGTATTTTTAAAAAAACATAAAAATTAAAGAATAAAGTTTTTAAAAGGTGAAAATATCATTATACTACTATCCATATATTAATTTACTATTATTAAAGTTAATATTTATCTTTAATTAACATGTTATTTGCGGATTTGCATAGCACATAAGTAAACAATATATGTCATACATGAGTTAATCACATGTATAAAAAAAAGAAGACACATATACTAAAGTCAACCAAAAAAAATAAAAATTAACTTTTTTCCTTTACTTTATTAAGACTTATAATGTTGGTACATATATTATATTCAATTTAATTCTTAAATTTTAATTATTTATTATCGTTTTAATCTTAAAAAAATACATTTGAATTATCGATAACAAGAGTATTAGTAATATATTATTTTATCATACTTATTCTATTTGGTTAGAATTTTAACTAATTATAAAAAAATATGTTGAAAAAAGTGTATGGGATAATTTGTTTATCGCATTTCTTATTGTTACTATTACTTCAATACTCAACATTTTCCCCTTATGTAGACGTGTGATGATAATATTATATTAGTGAAATCAAAACTTTTCTTATCTTTATTTATTTTTTATAAAAAAAACTATAAAAACAATTACGTATCGAATACAGTGAGAGAAAATAAAGATTACGAAATGAAAAATAAGAAATATAAAGAAAGAAAGAAATAATAATTATATGAGTAGTAAGAATTTTTTATCTGCAATAAAAATACAATTTACAATTATTTAATAAAAATATTCATTTAAAAGATAAAATAATTTCATTAAAAAAAAAAAGCTGGAGAAAAATGTTCTTAGGGATGTTTGCACTTGTTGGAGTATAAGATGATCGGAGGGACAACATGTGTCACTGTGTCATGAATGAGTATGTTACCAATATTTTTTAATTTTAATTAGAAAAAAAAAGAGTCACTGTCCTTCAGAATTTGAATAACATAAAGTTTGGAAGGGTTAAAGATTCCACCACCCACCCACCGAAAGAAGGGATATCATACACAAGAGAGAGAAAGAGAAGTGTTTTGCTTCCTCTGATCTGGCGAATCATTCGTTCTATCAAAATTTCCCGAAAACTCCAAAACCCCCCTTTTAGAAAACTCGATTAACAATCTCAATCTTCTTCATCTCTCTATCCTTCTCTTCCCCCAACCACAATTTCATTCAAAACTCTCTCTCAGGTACCTTTTTTTTTCCTCTTCAAAATTCCACCTTTGTCGTTTTCTCGCACACCCTCTTCCGTTTTTGATCGTATTGTTGCCTTCTTATTTGATAATCGCGACTGGGTATCTTATTTTTTCTTTCACGGGGTTCAACAACTTGGGCTTTTTTTATTATTATATTTTTTTAATTCTTTTTTGGGAAATTCAGGTGTATTTTTCTAGACAATTGATGCGTGTAATTTTGCCTCTTTATTTTATGTTTTAATGTTTCAATTCCTAGGATGGAGGGCCTGGTTTGCTTCCATGTTTAAGGTTGTTGTCTAAATAAATAGTAAAATTAGTGATTGCGATTTTTCAGCTAAAAGGCAAATGATGATCCTTATGCTGGTTGATGTACTAGCATGGCTTACCAGTGAAGTAACGAATCATTTTTGCCAGAGTTTGAAGGAACATTGCAAACAGATTATAGCTTTTCCTTGAAACACTCAAATTTGCATTAGTCTTTTTTTCATGTTTTTGTTGTTCTCTAAGTTTTATTGTACTTTTTTTTTTACCCCTGGAGAACAGTATGTTGATCTTATTTTGGACTCTTGATTTGCCAATGATGTTTTGTAATTTGTATACATGATGCTTTGGATTTGAAGCATCAGCATTAGTTGAATTGCATTGCTGAATGCAGGCCTTTAGAGATTTATTTTATTCTGATTTGTCAAATTGCATGACTGAAAGCTTATGCTTCAACTTTCCCAAATGGTTTTAGTGATACTTACGCAGTTTTGGTGTATGTTTCAGGTGATCAAGAGAATCAAAGTTTGCTTATCCATATTACAGATCATCTGAACAGAAGAGGGAGGGTACTGGTTTGCGGAGGCAATTGGACTTCTGCGAGCTTAGAATCCTCTCTCCTTTATTTATTTATGAACGCATTGTTATTGGCCAGTGCTGCTGGGGTCTCCTTTTCTCAAAGCTTGCATTTAGCGGCATCAATGTTTTGGTGATCTGTTGAGTTGAAGAGCGAGAAAAAATTAAGCTGAAAGAGAGAGGGATATTGAAGCTGAAACAATGGGTTCAGTTTGTTGCTGTTTGAATGTTGATAATTTTGAAGATTACATGAATCCAAATAGTCCTGTATATAGGAACTGTGTGTGTCTTAGTTGCTTCGTACAGAACTTTTTGACTGTGGTATGTCTCTAACTCCAAACTCCATCTTCTCTTCCATTCTCTCATTTTCTTTTGTTTCACTTTTGGACCCTGTCTTATGTGGTTTGTTCCATAGTTTGAATTTGATGTCCCGATGCATTAGTTTTGCCTGGAATTCCATACTTGTGAAGTGGAAAACATACCTGTTACAGTTTCAGGAGCTTGTGCTGTTTTCTTTGTTAGTATTGTTAAGCTTCCTCTCTATTGTTTTTTTTGTTCAGGACCATATAATGTGAAAAGTACTCATAATTGAAGTCGTATGCAGAGATTGCTGGCTTTTGCTTCTTTAGTGTTCTGGAAAACCTTTAGTCTCGAGCTTTATGTTCTAATTATCCAAATTTATGTCCTATGAGAATTAAAAATGTTGGAAGTGAGTCTCAAATTTAAGTTACCCTTTAGCTTATTGTGGGAGGGATATTTTTTCTTGAAGCTCTGGTGCTAACGTGCTTGTATATAATCAAATAAGAAACAAAATTTCATCTATAACTTAGTTTATGAAAGCTTTGCTGCATCTGTTAATTTAAGTAGTTTGGTGTTAATTTGATTGTATCGATCTCTTTGTATGTTATTCGGTAGATAATATTTTGAAGAATATTTTAGTCCTAGATCCATTTTTAAGGAATGGAACTGTACGCCATATATAATATAACTCTTTTCCAATCTAACTCAAATTTCAGTATGCATCAATATTCCGTAGAGGGGAAGTGCATGCGATTCCTTCATCTATACAGGGCGCAGCATCTATGACTTCTACAGCTTCACTTGATAATTCTCTATCTGACATGTACCGTTCTCCTCCAAGGCCCTTGCCTTATGATGCAGACCCCAGGTTTTTCCGTTCACAGCGTGATGGACTAGTGTCAAGACGTGAGAAAGGTTCAAGTCATTTGAATGAAGAGTCGGAACCTCTAAGAGGTGATTTAGATGCTGATTTAGAATCTTTAAATTCGGGTGGTAAATGGAATGATACCAGTGAAGATGGATCAAAGGAATACCGTTCTAAGTCCTCGGTAAGACTTTCATCAGCAAAACTTACGAATGGACCTGGGCTTGTCTATTCATCATCATCATCATCGGAAGACGAGGATGTTTGCCCGACCTGTCTTGAAGGTAAGAATTTTTTTCTTCTTAATTTACACTTGAAGTTTCATCTAAATGTGAAGAGGAGGATGTTTGCCCGACCTGTCTTGAAGGTAAGAATTTTTTTCTTCTTAATTTACACTTGAAGTTTCATCTAAATGTCACATGATGGCATGATGCTGGGGGATCAATTTTGCATTAAATATTGATCCTTAGCAAAGTTATCAATTCTGGGCAATCAAAATGGCTAACTTCAGAAATGCTATAGCAGGATGATTGTTATACTGAAGGTTATAGATAAAAGATAAATAATTTATTATTGGAAAGCCACCAAAATTGTGATAACTTTGTGGTCTATGTGTTTTTGTGTGTGTGTTGGGGGGGGGGGGGGGGGGGGGGTGTGCCTTAAATTGCAACTCTTAATTGCAACCTCAAGAGTGGTGCTTAGTCCCACATCCACTAAAGACATGGCTTATATAAAACTTGGATAATTCTTTCCTTACAAGATGGTTTTGTGAGGATGAGTTAGGAGGGTGTATTGAACTAGGATTTTAAAGGACATTTTTAGTTGAAATTTTTTTTGTGGATTTTAAAAGACTTTGCAGGATTCTGCAAAACTTTAAATCAAGATTTTAATAGATTCTGCAAGACTTTTAAGTCATAATTTGAATGGATTCTGCAGGACTTTGTAAACTTTGCGGAATTTCGTGGATTTTTGACATACGATAAAAGTTCAAGATTTTTTTCATACATTCAAATTTAAAAAGAGTCAAAGACAAATTTTTAATTGCTTTCAATTATTCACTCGCAAAGAAATATTTTTAGTATTAAATTGTAAGATACCACAATGTCTTATGTTAATTTCCGTTTAAAAATTTAAAATATCCTAATTTTACAATATAAAAATTAAAAAAATAAAATTCATAGTAAAAAAAAGAAATAAAATAATTGTTGAGTCATAGAAGGAGGAAGATAATAGTAACAAACTCAAGGGAGGAAGAGAGATTGCTATTTTTGTCCTGAGAGGGTTCTTCCCCCAATTAAGATCTATTATCATCTTATTCTACTCACAGAAACCCTAACTCAAATTCATCTTATATATATATATTTATCTATTTTGTTCTAATAAATCTAAATTGATTACAAGGTCTTGAAACAGTTAATTGTAGAGATCATGATATCAATTTTAGTTTTTACCTTTTCTTTTTCTTGACGCGTATTATAAAAAAATTACTATTTAAAAGTTGAAATTTCAAGCATTTTCTTTGTTATATATCTGAGGAATAAACTTAACTAAATAGAGCAAAATAAAAACAACTCAATTAAAGAGGACGGAGAGAAAAATAAAGCAAGTCAATGGCACTGTCATTTACGTATTGAAATTTCACCAAATAGGGAAATGGAATGGGAACAGTAGTACAATATTATATATAGTAGTAATGCAATATTATTAGTAGAGAAAAAAATGGAGAAGACAAGAGCATAGAAAAAAGAGATGAAAAACTCACTTGGAAATTCTTGAAGCACTTGAAAAGTCATTTTAAACAATCTTCCAAATTTTGATGTTTTGATGGGTTTGGATAAGATTGTTTTATGAATTTGACATTTATAGATACTACTAAAAAGTCCTTCAAAATTCGTCTCCTTTTAAAATTCTTATATTTTTAAATACTAATGGATTGTTTTTAAGTTGTAAAAAGTCTCAAATGAATACTAATGGGTTTTAATGGACTCTTTAAAAAATCTTGAAAATTCAAATTGGATAGTACTGGATTATTTTTAAGTGACATAAAATTCTGATTTCGGATTTTTTTTACTTAAAATAAGTCTTTTGAAATCCTAAACTAATACACTCCCCTTAGGTTCCAAGCTCAAATTCTAAAGAGTTATACTAGACATATATAAAATGCTCAAAAATAAAAAAATACCCAAAATTAAAGACACATTATATTCATAATGAATATTAAAAATAGTTGTCTTGAGATAAACTCACAAGTTAGTTACCCCTAAAGTCTATAAAAATAAGGGTGGTCAATGCATGAGGCTCCCGATTAATGGGGATTAGGGGGGGTAATGGGGATTAGGGGGGGTATGGGAATGGTAGATGTATGCAGCAGTTTTACTCCTGTATGATGGCTATTCCCAGAATTTGAACTTGTGACCTCCATGCCTCTGTGCTGCAAGGCAGCAATCTTACTGCTATACCAAGTCTCACCTTGAGAACTCTTGTGACCTCCAAACTCTGAAATTAAAATTTTAAAAGCGAAATCTCTTTGAAATATAGGAGAACACAGTGAGACCATTTTGAAAATATAAATGCATCATGTGAGACTATCTCTCTTTAACACAAAACAGAGAAAAAGAACTACAAGAATGTGCTGATAAGAAAAAGGATAGAGACCTTTCTGAATTAGCAAGAACATGAACAAAACAGAGACAAAATGAGGGTTGTGCTATTATGATTAAAGGCAGGCTTTATCTGTAATAATGCTGAAGTGCAAAGTGTTTTTGGAAATGCCACCAGAAATCTGTATTGGTGCTCCAAAAGGGAGGAGTTTGGCATTAATCTTGTCTTTTGGTCTGGACTCTCCATCTCCAATGTATGCATGATAGAAGAACATGTTTAGTCTTGAATCAGAAACATGTGGTTTCTATTCTCTGATATAAAATATGGGGAAACCACAAAAATATTCTAAAAGCCAGCTTCAATAACGCTCAAAACATGGAAGGAAAGTGGGGGTTTTGGCTTGTAAAGAATAGCAATCGTGACCTACTTCAAAACACAACATGACAGTGAATGGATAATGCCTCCAGGCTGCTCCTTGATGTTCTTATGTGATAGTTGTGCTTGAGTGCACTATTGATGACTATGGTCTATTGGTTGCCTTTTGATATGTCTTCCCTTGTACATTATTACTTGGATATTATACTTTTATTTGGTGTATTTATTTTAAATGATATTCTGACTGTCATGTGTGACTTCCCTTTCTTTAATTGCAAAGAGGAAAAATGAAGGCCATATATTTTAAATAATTAGAGAAAATGCCTTGTTCAATGTTTTCTTTATGCTATTCTATTAGTTGATCTCAAATGCAGAAAAGCATAATTTATTAATAGATGCAACACTGGCTTCAAATTTTGAATGTAACTTCAGCACGATAATGGAGGAGGGCAATCCTTAACTTCTGACTTCTGATTATTATTATGCCTGTAAACTTACAATACTTGTAAAAAAAAAGGTTGTACTTGTTAATGCCAGGAAACACATTATATAGAGAATAGGAACTTTATCAGATTCTTACATTCGTTGCAATTATGTTTGCTTGCAGAGTACACTGAAGAGAATCCAAAGATAGTGACAAAATGCTCTCATCATTTTCATCTTGGTTGCATTTATGAGTGGATGGAAAGAAGTGACAACTGTCCTGTTTGTGGGAAGGTAATATTAATTTGGTAATTTCTGAAATATTTCTCTCTGAAATTAGAGCATAGAACACATAAAATCAGTAGGTTGAGAACTGGGCTGGACCAGTCAGTTCAACCAGAAACCAGTGGATTGACCATGTCTCTGGTTCAGCTCTGTAAATCATATGGGGTCCAGAGTGCAAATCCTTGCAAACTGATTTTGAACCAGCTAGTTCCAGAACAAACTAGCAAACAGGTTAAATTCTGCCTGTTCATTTGGTTTGTGTGCCAACGTGTTGTCACACATTTTGGAAGTGGGAACATTTCAATTGGAAATCTTCGAAGGGGCAAAAGCTAGTATTCAAAGTCAATTTATTTATTGGCATGCTAGCATGGCAAACATCAGGCTACCAAATTAGTTCCCGTGCAATGCATGGCATTATTTCAAATATGATATAATAAAAAAATATATGAATGATAACTTCATATTCATAAGAAAAAGATCATAGTTTTAATCTTTTACACAATTTGCTGACCAAAAATTAAGTGACATTTCACTTTTTGGGGGTACTATTCACTATATCCCAGGCTTATAAAATCATGTTAATAATTTCATTCCAGTTTGTCTAGCAGAAAATACCAACCCATGATTTTTTAGGCATTTTTCTGTTCCTTATCCATGATTTTGGTGAGCGGAACAATTGTTGCTTCATTACAGGTGTTAGTGACGAGGGAATTGGCTTGTGATATTGCCACATGCTAAAAATTTATGTTTTTGCTACATAATTGCCATGTTGGACAGAGTATGTGCTATTATGTCGAGATATTCCATACAAGGAACTAAATAGATGGAATTTCCATTTGGGATGAATTTGATCTGGCTTTATATGACGAGACTTTTTGGGTACAGAAAATGTTGTAGGAAGAAATTGAAATGAAATTAAAGTACGAAAAGTATATTTAAAAAAGGGTATAGGAATTATTTGTCACAATAAATAACAGGTATAATTATAATTCATTTCTATTCTACAATAACTAGTTATTGTTATTACACCATGTCTTGTGTAATTTTTTTATGGAACTTCTTACAATCCTCCCCTTCCTCTATGAGAACTCTTTTGCAATTAATATTCTACTTGATCTGATGGCAAATTAGTTTGTCAGTATCCTAATGCCTTCGTAGTTCATTGGTACATGTATTACTATCAATTTTCTTTGCTGATGAGCTTTATTTTGATGTCATTCCCAAACTTGTAAAATAATTGAATTCCATACTGGGAACTGGAGTGTATCTGTAGTGCTGTTATCATTTTAGAAACTGTAGCTTTGCCAAGAGAAATGTTTGGTATACTCTGTGACACTTGGTTGTTAAGTATCAGTTACTTGTTACTACAAACATAATGGCATGTTCTATTAACCGATGAAATAGTATTAGTTTGTGCTTTTATACAATATAAGTTTATATGTAATCAATGGAGATGGAAAGGCAAAAACATACTCTAGTTGAAGCAGCTTGAGCTTGAAACTGATTATTTTAGCTGACATAACTTCCACCTAGCTTGCATTCAGATTGTATATATGTGAAATATTACTTTTTTGGCAATTTACGTGTCTGACTATTTGAGCTTTATTCTAATAATATTTTTTTTAACTTGCACACTATCATTTATTATTTTACTATTATTTTAATATTGATATTGATCAAACTTTTATAATTGTACCTACGACACTTGAATATATATTTGACCTCTGAGCATGACTGGAGAGCTGGAACTTGAATAATAATTTCTTTATTGACAATGTGTGCATTCTACATTGGTAAGCAAAAAGCTGCACTTGAAGTTGGAGTCTACTGAATTATGATATTTATTTATTTTAATTTTGGTGTAGGTGATGGTATTCGATGAAACGACTTAATCCTGATTAAAAAGGTTTATATCGTGGATGATACCAACAGAGGAAAGGAAAAATACAAGTATAGACATTGTGAATACTTCAGATTAAGCGCTTATCTTGTATAGTAAGTATATAACTTTTATTAATCATAATTGTAAGGCCAATCTCATCCAAGTTGTTTTTATATTTATACTTTTCTCCCTTGCCAAAACTCTTCCAAGATTGAAAGAAAATGCCATTTTAGATGGGAACTTTGTCATGGTTTCAACATTTTGTAATGGAATGATCTCTTCTCTATTTCTTTTTCTTTTTAGTTTCTGTTGTTAGTTATGAGTTTGGATTTTGGAACCACTCTTCCAAGGTATATTTTTCATCCTTAAGTTCGAATTTTTGTTGTTTGGCCATCCTTTTTCCCAATCGAATTAAATGGAATTGATGAGCTGTACAAAAAATAGAAGGAATTCAAAAGAGCAAAAATTGAACTGATCCCACTAGTACATAGGCTTAAAAATAAGCTAATTTCTAAAATTAACCGAAATAAGTAACAAAACCAAATTTGAAAATTTTCTTACTCTAATTTTATGATAATTATGACTTAACTCTTAATATTATAAATTGTACATATTGGGTGTACTCTGATTTTTTTTTTTTCCGTCCAAATAATTTGTTTACATAATTGGTTCGGTCTAAAAGGTTGAGGTTGTTGGCGTATAATATAAACCATTATTTATTAGCGCAATGCTGTTTTTACCCTTTTTTTGGAAGCATGTGTCAAACGGGTACTTTTGAAAGCTTAACCATTGTTTATCCATGCAATAATTTGTTCGTTTTAATGAATGAGTAAAATGGAGATAGATTTGAAATTAGACTTTGAAATGCATATTGGTTGAGGGTATTTAAAAAGTAAACAACATAATAATAATACAATTGGTGAGGGAAAACACGAACGAGACAAGCGATGTCTTGCAATCCGTTGTTTGTTTCTTTCCGCCATCTCAAATAATAGTTCTTAATTAGGTTCTGTGAGAAAATTAAATCAAGCCAACAATATTGACTGTTGAATGGCTGCACCACCGACTTGAAATTTTGACCAGTTCACAATGGTTTCACTGTCTTTGGTTTGCCTCAAAGTGAAGAATGATAAATGTTATTTAATAATTAAGTTTTATACTTTGTAACGCCTATAAAAGAAGTGGATGCAAAATAGAAAAATAGAATCAGTTTTTTTAGTGAAATATAATTTCAAAATCTCTTTTTTCCTTTTCTCTTTCTCTCTCTCCCGTTTATGCTGTGCATGATATTTGTTTGTTTGAATGATAATAATTGGTATTAGAGCTTGAGAGTCTGATGGTAGTGTGAATGAAAAAAATATATTTGAGTGAGTGAGGAATAAGAGGGTTTTCACTTTGTCTAAGAAAAAAAAATATAGTCGTTATATCTTTGAGAGAGATATGGTCATTAGTTACAATATTATTTGGTTTGGTCCCAAACTAGATGAGAAATTAGATTTTAGTTATTGGGAGACTTTGATGGGTACACATTTGAGAACTTACAATATTTGGAATTTTGTTGAGCCGAGATTAATAAAAGAAGTTGATGATACTGCTAGGAGGAGAGACCAATTAATGCTGTCACAACTTCATTAAGGAGTAGATTATTCTATTTTTGGCAAAATTGTAAATGCCAAAACTATTAAAGAAGCGTGGAATATTTTGAAACTATCATATAAAAGAGTAAAGAAAGCTCAAAAATTCAAGTTGCAATTTGTGCAAAGAGAATACAAAAGATATGAAATGTTGAATTCTGAACCCATGGAATAATATTTTTCACGAGTTACAAAATGAGAGTATATGGATAAGATATTCCTGATAGCAAAGTGGTAGAGAAAATTCTTCGAACAATACTGATGAAGTTTGATCATGTGGTGACTACAATAATTGAGTCCATGATACAAACACCATGGCTATAACAAAGTTGCAGGGAAGCATTGAAAGTCATTTGAGTAGAATCTTGGAGAAGGTAGAAAAAGTAAATGAAGAAGCTTTAAAAAGTCAAGTGAATCTCAACAATACAGCTGAAACCAATCAAAGCGCAAAAAGTAAAGGTCGTGATAATTACAATAATGGAGGAAAAGAAAGTTATAGAGGAAGAGGTTGAGGAAACTAAAGGCAGAGGACGTGAAAATTTCAATCAAGGATGAGATAACAATTTTGGGTCATTCAATCAAGGAAGAGGAGGAAAAACTTTTGGTGTTGCTAAGTGTGGAAAAGGATGTGGTAACAATTTCCAACAAAGAGCAAATTTTAATTGCTTCTATTGTGGAAAGTTTGGGCACAAAGCTACAAAGTGTAGATTTAGACAATAGGTGAACGTGGCAGAAAGTCATTAAAATATTGGTGATAATTCTTATAATCCACAAAGTTTATTTTTGGAAAACAATACATTTTCCAAGAATGAAAATATTTGATATTTGGATATTGGATGTAACAATCATATGTGTGGGAAAAGGGAATTATTTTCATCTCTAGATGAAATAGTAGAATCTACTATGAGATTTGGAAACAACACAAATATTCCTATTTTAGGGAAAAACCATATTAATATCAGATTGAAAGATGGTTTGCAAAATTTTATCTATGATGTTTTTTATATTCTTAGTCTTCATCACAATATGTTGGGTATGAAACAACTATCAGAGTAAAGTTACAACATGCAGATTCATCATGGATATTGCATGTTGATAGGAAAAAGTGGAAGATTTATAGCTACGGTAAAAATGACCGCAATCGCTTATTCCCTTTGAAAATTTGTCATGAAAAGTTTTCTTGTTTGAGTTCTATTATTCCCAATGATGATTGGTTGTGACATATGTGTTTAGGACACTTTCATTTTTCTAGATTAAATTATCTATCAAGAAAGTAATGTTTCTAGCGTGCTTGTTGTGGATATTCCTAATGGTGTATGTGAGACGTGTGAGATTGGAAGGAAGCATAGAGAATCATTCCCAACTAGAGTGTCTTGGAGGGCGAAGAAGCTATTAGAGATAGTTTATTCATATTTCTGTACAAAGACATGGGTACACTTCTTAAAGCAGAAATCAAAAGCATCTCATGCCTTGAAGATGTTTAAGGCATTTGTAAAGGAGAAAAATGGTTGTAGAATCAAAGTATTGAAAATAAGCAAAGGCCGAGAATATCTTGCTTATACAAATTTCTTTGAACAACATGGAATTCAACACCAATTTACAACTAGATACATGTCTCAACATAATGGAGTTGCTGAAAGAAAGAACAAAACAATCATGGATATGGTGAGATGTATGCTAAAGGCCAAATAGATGCTTAGGGAGTTTTAGGCAGAAGCAGTTGCTACTGCTATCTATATCTTGAATAGGTGTCTAGCAAAGAGTATTCATGACAAGACACCGGAAGAAAGCTTGGAGTGGAAGAAGACCATCAATTAGAATCTTAGAATTTTTGGATGCATAACATATACACATGTGCCAAATCAGCTCAGAAAGAAATTGGATGACAAAGGATAAAAGTGTGTTTTCATTGACTATAACTCAAATTCAAAGACATATAAACTTTACAATCTAGAGACAAAGAAGATGATTATCAATAGAAATGTGACATTTGATGAGAAAGGCATGTGAGATTGGTCTCCTAAATCCCAAAAGGAGAAAATGGTGATCTCCAACAACTATGAAGAGTTTGAGAGACAACCAGATCCAGTTGTTGATGAAATAAAATCTCCTAATAGACCAAGGAGATGCCGTTAACTACCAACTAGATTGAAAGATTATGTTGTGGATAATGATAATGACCCGTTTGATGAAGAGATTACCAATTTTGCTTTATTTGCAGATTATGAGCCTGTGACTTTTGAAGAAGCCTCAAGCAATGAGAAATGGAGAAAAACAATGGCCGATGAAATTTATGCCATTGAAAAGAATGAAACATGAGAATTAATAGATTTGTCAATAGATAAAAGGCCTATTGGATTAAAGTGGGTATACAAGACCAAATACAATCCTAATGGAGAAGTTGACCGCTTTAAAGCAAGGTTGGTGATTAAAGAGTACAAGAAAAAATTAGGTATTGATTACTTTGAAGTATTTGTACCTGTTGTAAGGTTGGATACAATACGTATGATTGTTTCTCTTTTAGCTCAAAATAATTGAAAGATATATCAAATGAATTAATTATTGTCTAACTGAAGAGCAAGTTGCTAATTTTTACGAAGCCATTAAAGATTGAGTTATTTTACAAGTTGAAGAATATGCTTGGAATGATACAAGCTTGATTTAAATGAGGTAATGTTAGAAAATTAAATCAAGCCAATAATATTGATTGTTGAATGGCTACAACCCCAACTTGAAATTTTGACCATTGTCCACAATGGCTGCACGTCCTTGGTTTGCTAAGTGAAGAATGATAGATGTTACTTATACTTTGTAATGCCTATAAAAGGTGGTGTATGTGAAATAGAAAAATAAAATCGATTTTTGAGTGAAATCTAATTTCAAAATCTCTTCCTCCTTCTCTCTCTCATTTCTGTTGTGCATGATATTTGTTTGTTCGAATGATAATAAGTTATTATAAGCAATAATTATTTCTTGTAAGTTTTATTATTGGAGTATCTAGACATGGTGAAAAATCTATTTTTATATTATAATTCTCAAGAAAAAATTCTTAATTATACATAAAAAAAGTTATTTTAATTATAAATAAAATATGAAATAGTAGAGTTCATTGTGAGATTCGTATAAAAAGAATTAAGAACTCAAATTAAGTTTTTTTTTATTGAAAAATATAAAAAATTCTTTAATCTTATGTAGTATTGAGGTGTATAAAAATTACATCAAAAATATAAAATGAGTTCTATATATTAGGGATGCTCTTAAGTACTTGAACTATAACTTCATTATATAATAGGACAATTCTATTTTCATATTTTTTATTTCAGAAAAAAAAAAGAGTTGATAATCAAATGGTGTAGAACTTAAAAGCTAGTAGTATTTTTCTTAGTAAAAAATAACCAAAATCAAACATTTGCATAATTATTGTTGTTTTTATTTGGTACAATGTCAATTATACAATATTTGATTGAAAAGAAATGTATAAGAAGAGTTTTTATAAACTTTTCTTGTTTGGTTTAATTTTTAGGAGTGGAGGGGAGCAAGATTGCATGTCATTTAATTGTAGCCCGCTTCCAATATTGAAAAAATTTAAAGGGAAAATATGGATTATAGTAAATTTGAAGTTATAATGTTAGAAAGATAAATTAGTTTTAAAAAATTTTCTCCTTCTCTTATGAACTAAATAAAAAATTAATTACATCCTTTTCTCTCTTAATGAACCAAAATTTCTAACTCCTCCTCTTTCCTTTCATTCGTGTTCATCTCCTCTCTTCCTTTGAATCAAACATATCCCTAAATAGCAAAATACCAATTAAAAAAAATTAAATAGTAAAGTCATTCAATACAATTTATTATTGCTGTTTCCGGTACGCGTGCAAAGACACGCACGGAGACCGTATACACTGTATTATATAACACATAATATATTGTCTTACATTATATCAATACAAGTCTCACATTTCATAAAGCAGTGAAGGGCCAACTTCTTATTTCCAAGGTTTTATTCTTATAGAGGATAATAGTTACTGTGAAGAGCTGAAAAATTCAACTTGTAGCAACTTTGAAAGCTCTCAAGAACACTTCAGGGGGTTGTCCACCGCTCAACTTTTGGTTCCCATTAATCTGCCAAATGATTCAATAAGTCAATCACTTCTATTTTTACCATTATGAATCTGAACATACAAAGAAAGAATTTTAATATTGCATAGACTAACCACGTAATATGGAACCCCTGTAATGTTTCCTGAATATGTTTTGAGCTCTTCCTCAACCTATGTAGATAGTGTCATGGAAAGCAAGATCAGCATTGATATTCAATTGCCTAACTACTAAAATGATCATACTACCACTTTGATGTTAGCATCCAAAAGAAGAAAAAACATTAATCATTTTGAAGTTAAATTCAATAAAGTTTACTTTTGTTATGTTTCGATCTTAAAACACATCATATAAAGGAGTTTGCCTATATATAAATATTACCTCCTTCAATCCATTGTTGGGGTCCTTAAGAAACTGTTCTGCCCCTTCTACACCAACCTTTGCAGCAGATTCCAGAAGAAACTGACTGCATCCAAATTAAGAATGATAATTAATGCCTGTCATTTTAGGAACTAGATTCGAATATTGTGGTATAAATGTCCTGCAATATCCTACGACAAAAGACCACCCATCCACCTCCATTTTGTTTCATACTGAACATTCAATTCCACTTTATTAGTCTTTGGATTTATTATATATAATACGTAAAACTTAGTATTTAAATGCATCTAAATTGACGAAATTAGTTTGCAGTTTAAAATTCTATAAGTGTATAAAAAATGAGATATTCAACCGCAAGGAATTCAGGAACTGAAATCGATACAGACGGGCATGTCTTCAAGGAATGTCTAGAACATCCTCTTCGAAAGCCTTAGAGTAATCAAGCTAAAGTGCCATTAATTGAGCAAACAACCAAAACGATCGCTAAAAAAAGAATTTAATAGAAATGCACTCTCAGTGGTAAAAGTTTTTTGATCTGTCATTCATGTAGGAATTGCCATATAATTGAAATTGTTAACTTCTGTAATAATCACTTTAAAAATCATATATAGTTATTTCTAATTGGTAGACAGTATATTAAAACTAAATTAACAATAAAACAGCCCTTATTGTAAACATAGAACCTCGCCCCCTTCCCACTGGAAAAGGAAACACAAAATCACTTACTGGTCACCAATGTATTTTCCCTGTGTGAAGTAGCCAACGGCAAGTTCTTCAACTAGATCATGTTGCTTGTCAAGACCCTGCTGTCTTGCATAATATATAAGCCTGTGACTGTCAATAGTGCTTCCCCTGTAGATAATCAAACCAATATTAGTTGAACTTCAATTTAGACAAAAACTTCAGAACCCTCCACTTCTAAAGTGGCTTGTAGAAGTGTAGAACTTTGCCCATTGATGAATTGGAAAAATCATTCTCAATCTTACGTGAGTCCAGACAAAGTATATTCCAGACCAACATTCTTGAACACCTGCCAAATACCAATTGGACATAATGACTTGCTCAAAATTCACTGATGGGAAGAAATATAGACTATACAACCATGAATCATGATAAGACAAAGTGATTAACAAAGAGTTTGTTTGAATACAAGTTTAAAAATATTATAAAGAGTTTCTCTATTGGAAATAAACTTTATTTTCAGTAGAAAAACTTTGAAAAATACTTTTAAACTTGTATCTAAATTTACTCAAAATATAAACCTCAGACATCCGAGCTTCCATCCGTTCTGACTGTGATCCAAACTTTCTTCTGTAATATTCCCTCTTGTCAATGCCTTCTTTAGGGGCATCGGGGTTAAGTAGAAAGGGATGCCATATTATCTATAAACAGCATATTTGGTTCCAAGAGTGTTAGAACCTCTGGTTAAATAGCAAATTAACACAGGACATGCAAGACATATTTGATTCCAAAACACAAACACACACATAGAGGGAGACTAGAGGAGAGTGTTAGACCTCAAAGTTGTATTCATCGTTGGACGCAGCTATGGCCTTGTCAAGATTTCTTTTGCCAACAAAGCACCACGGACATACAGTATCAGAACTAATATCAATTCTTACAACTTTCTTTTCAGAAGCCTCACTCATGATCCTGCTGTATCTGCAATATCTTCACAACATAACAAGTACTTATCAAGTAAGATTGCTATGAAAAGGAAGAACAATAATCTGTTACCTTTTATTTTTAAGAAAAAAGAAAATATTACTCATCAGTCATATTTCCTCCTAATGTCCCCAGACAGTTCTATTTATTTTCCTTTTGAACTACGATCCAAATTTCATAAAGGTACACGTTTGTTCAAAAGTTAAGGCTGGTAAAACAAAGACAATAAAGTGTAAGACAAAACTAAGGTACAGACTACAGAGATCAGAATAAGAATTTAATCTGGATAATTCATTTAATAAATGTTTAGATGAATAATTATTAATTTGAATAAAGTCAAATGCACAAGAGATGTTGGGAAACACCAGAATCTTCCGCCCTAAACGAATCTCATGATCAGATTGCGAAACAACCGAACAACAATTCAGAAAACAAAAATTAAAAAAGAAGATCAAGTTTAAAAAGAGAAAACAAAAAGCTAGCTTTGAGCCATAATCAAGAGGAAAATTAAGAAGCAATCCAATTTGCACTGAGAAAAAGAAAGATTAATACCGGGGAGGGTAAACAGAGAGGAGAGAAACTAAATTCAAAAGCTTTGCCACGGCTCACACGAGTTGCAATTGGAGTCACTTATTTGACATTGATTCAGAGATCAAGCTTAAAACGGGAACAACGAACTTGTCTTTTTTTTTATATTTTTTTATTAATTTATTTTATATTCTGTCTTTATTTGTTTCCCGAACGTGTTGGAAAGTCGTCGTTTCAGGTTGTTTTTTCAGACCCAACTACCACCACCCAATAATATCTCATTTAAATTAAAAGTCTTTGTTGACTTTAATAATAATGGATAATGTATAAAGAACCCCGGATATACAATAATATGTATCCTTCCTAAGACTAATTCTACCGTTGTAAATTAAATTATTCTTTCTTATGTATTTCTAATTATACTAGATGATAATTGATAGCTAATTGTTAACATATATATGCCTCAAGCATAACAACCCAAAGACTTCATTTATATAGCCTTTCTAATCGGTATTTAAAACCTAGGAATCAATATGATTCAGTTGCAAAAGTAATTGCACCGCCTACAGAGACAAAATAATTATATACTTGAAGCAGTCATTGAAGAAAGAGTAAATCGATAAGTAGATGCAATTTTGGAACCAAACTATGCACATTACTCTCACCCAATCTTAGAGTGCTATGTCAGATGATATTGTAGTCAAAATTTAGAAGAGCAGATAGTCCATTTGGCATCTTTATGTTGCTTAGGCAATGATTCTTTCACGGGCTTTCTTTCTCCAATATTTGTAGGGCCAGAAGAAGGTTTTGTCGTTTGAATATTTAAAATTTCGATTTTAACCGGTCATATTTCTTTTTGACTCAGTTCAAGAAAAAAAACTTTCAATTAGTGCACTGTCTTGTGGATTTCATCTTAAAATCACTTTCTATATGTTGAAGTTGGCTATTAATACATAAGTCGCGCTATAAAAATTGAAACAGAAGATATAAAAGTTTCCAGCAACTCTTCTGTGTATGTTTGTTAGAATAGACAATGTCTATCATAATAGACTATCCACATAGATAAACAATAAGTTATGATATTATGTTAAGTTTTTTCTTAAAATTAATTAACTTAAAGTGAAATTGCTCAATAAATATAAATTGAGTCTAAAAAGATGAGAAAAGAGATTTAAAATTTTCTACATTTTCCTGTATACTCCTATTTATACCGATCTATAATAATATAGTTGAAAGGATATGATTTTAGTTTCTATTGCCTTCCCTTCAATTTTTATAGGTGACATTTGAAAATTTTTTCTACACAAATTTTATAAATAAAACTTGAAAATTCATTTCTTACAAGTCTTTTTTTTTTTTTTGGGAAATTTGAAAATCTTTTTTCATATGAATAAAGATCACAAAAATATTTACACCCGTGGGTATCTGCGAGTAAAATTCACTACAGATAATAAATAGATAAGCTAACTAATTGGATACCCACGGATAATGGGAACGGATAAATTTTTACATGTTTATAAACGGGGCGAGGGTGAGTATGATGATAATTCATACCCGCGGGTACTCGTTTAATAATATTTCTTAAATATCCTAATTATCTTTGTACTACATAACCCTAAAATTGTACTATCTCATCTTTGTGATATGAGACTTTCATTTACTTGTGAGATTAATGTATTTTAAGTTATTGATTATCTTATATTTTTATTATTATTTCAACAAAATTAACGTTAAATACAAGTTTAAAATTAACATTAAATTTTTATTTTTAATATTTCAATGACATTAAATATAAACTTAAAATTATTTGTACTATAATTTTTTTAATTTCTTAAAAAATTTATAAATATTCATAGATATCCGTAAGTATTCAAGAAATTCATGAATACTCGCTTAATAGATACTCGCGTAGATATGAAGGTGGGTATGAAATCAATTTTCATCCGGAACAAAAATATATTTACTATTACCCGCCTCATAGAATTCATTGTCATCCCTACATATGAGCATCTTTGATATTTTTTTAAAATACCTTAAAATGATACTTGTTATAAAACGGAAAAAAGATTTCATATTTTATGTTGACGGACCGACCTTAATTTATGTGTGTGGGACCTTTTTAGCAAAAAAAGCAAATGCATTAAGGTAGAAAAGAAATGAAGAAATCATGTGCAAAAGATGGAGTGAGAAAAAGAATTGAGTAAAGAATAATCAAGGAGGTGGTATGTGCTGCCCACTCTATAGCTTAGCTGTGAAGACGAAAGAGGTGAAGCAATAATGGTTCTTCCAAAAGCTTACAATGTGACAACTTACGGTAAAATCAATATCTGAATAAATAAAAAACAAGTATCTCAATTAAACTTGATCCCCCAAAAGCTTACTATGTGACTGTTTGACTCAAAAGACAAACATTTAGCAGCTAGTCAGATAACTTACGGATACAATACTTTGTTCAGAATCGCTATCATAGATCCCAGGGAATAATGGTGGTGGAAATTAAGGTATAAGGACCGTTGGTGTTTGCGATATCTTGTTGTTCTTGTAGCGACAAAGCACGCTCAAGTTCCACCTCTACTTCACCCATTGTTGGTCTCTCATCAGCTTCATATTCCAAGCATCTTACCGTCATATCTGCAAACACTTGCCAACACTCCGGTGCAATCTTACCAATCATATTTGGATCAATTTTCTCCTCAACAGGCTTCTCCAGAAAATCTCTTGCTTCTCCTTCTCTTACAATGTCGTAAATTCCTCTTCCCCACACAACTTCTAGTAGAACTATACCAAACGAGTAAACATCACTTTTATCTGTCACGATACCTTTCTGGTAAGACTCCGGCGCTGCGTAGACAAGAGTACCTATATGTGAAGGTATTAACTTAGTTTAAGTGACAAAAATGAAAATTGATTGTAATAAGTAAGCTCATAAAACAAAATATTACCTCTAATAATGTCTAATTGAATTGGTTTAGGCTTTGACATAAAACGTGCTCCTTGTATGCTAAGGCCGAAACCTACGAGTTTTGGGTGCATGTTGTGGTCCAAAAGAATGTAGCTAGGTTTGATGTGACGGTGAATGATGGTACGCTTAGCTCCTGCTTGAAGGTAGTGTAGTCCACGTGCTGCTCCTATGCAAATCTCTAGCCTTTTCTTCCATGACAGTTCCCCACCTTGCAGGTGTCCATGTAGAGATCCATTGGGCATGTACTCGAACACGATAATCTTTTCTTTTTTGTGGATGCAGAATCCTATAAGAGAGATTATATGAGGGTGATGAAGCTGGCAGTGCAACTCTACCTCAGTCATGAACTCTCCCCATCCATCAGGGCGTTCCACTTTAAATCGCTTCACTGCAACTGCATAATCAGTACCATCATTGCGTTTAAGATAACCTTTATATGCTTTACTAAATTCTCCATCTCCAATTATTCTCTTTTCATCAAAGTTGTTGGTTGCTTTCTTAATTTCAGCCCAAGAAAATGGACGGCACAGCTCTTCGATTACTGTGGGATACCCTCTACCAGCACCACTTGAATTTCTGTCGCCAAAACATTTCAGAAACATTATTATTGTGACACCACAAAGAAACTTTACCTTTACTCTGCACTCCAATCTTCATATGCTCGTCCTGTATTTACGCGTTTGGTTGCAGCTTCCCTGTACTTTCATCCATTCGGCATACATCAAAATCAATATTAAATTATCAATTAGGATAACTTCTCACTACCTTCCTTCGCTTTTCAATTAATAATAAGGTCAAGTTGCTCCGCAAAATAATTAATTAAATACCATGACTGAGGACAACTTAGGGGATTCTTTACTTTTGTTATTGATACTAGAGTAACCGACACGTTTCGTATCTCTAATAGTTATATACATACACAATATTGAAAAATTATGTATAGTAATGTATAATTATTCAAAGAAGATATAATTTTTTTTTACATATAGAGAAGTGTATATTTTTGGTTTTCTAGGAGTTTAGCAAATTTAATTAAAAGGGCTGCTATTGAAGTTGCTTTACCATGAAAAATCCTCCAAACCACTCAACCTTTTAGAAAAGATTAAGCTGTTTACTCTTTCTCCTTCATATTCTATTTTATTTTGATGCACATATAGAAGGAATTGGGAGGAGAAAAAGAGGGGAATAGATTGAAGACTTTGCGAAAAATAAGGAGCTAGTAAGGAGTCCAAGAATCAGTTGAGAACGAGGTTCTAGGATCTCTCTTTCTTTCTTCTACACCTTCTCCATATATTTTGGATTAGCTCTCACCACCATGAGTGACTAACTTTTCTTTTTGTTGGTGTTGAACAATCCATCAAATTTTCATGTACTCCTTTTGATTTATATATATGATAATCTATTATTTAGTGTTAGTGATTTTGATTCTGTTCTTAATGTTAAGTTGACTTTGTTACTCATCTTTGATATCTTTGATAAATAGAAGAATTATTTATTGAGTTAGACTCCTTAGAAACTCTAAATGTAAAGACTTGATTTAGAATGATTATAATGAACTCAATAATATTGGATGATAGAAATCAAATATAGATAATCTTAGGAGAACATAAGGGTGAGATTAGTGAGACTCAATCCCATCAGCTTTGCATGTTGTTCTCTTTCAGTTTTACTACTACTTTGTTGATAACTTTTTATAATTCCAACATTGAAATATGAACATCATGTTTATAATATCTATGAATCTTTCTATTTCAAGCTTTTATTAGGATATCATAAATTATAAGTATTTACCTAAGTTTCAACAACCTGTATTTAATTCTTACTCTATAGTTACTTGGTGTGCTTGCCTTAAAACCTCATCAATTACACCAAGCTTCCAAGAGTTGGTATAAAAAATTCACTAGCGCATTGATTATAAGATTTGTTTCAGGAAGTTTAGGCCTGATCATTTACTCTTCATTTTTAATGAGAAAGGGACATTCCTCACTGCATTAATCTGTGTAGCTGATGTTATATTATTCAGGAATGATCATAAGTTCATGAACAAGAAAAGTTGTATATCGATAAGGAGTTTAGTATCAAGGACTTGGGACCATTAAAATGCTTTCTAGGCATAGAAGTGGCAAGATCATCACAAGGAATAGTTATGAATTAGGGAAAATATACTTTAGACATCCTTAAGGAGACTAGGATGGAAAATTGTAGACCAAGAAAATTTTCAATGGAGTAGAATTGTAACTTGCGAGTAAGGGAAGAAGATCTAGACGTGGATGCAACAAGATATCAAAGGTTAACGTTGTTGTATTTGACCATAACAAGACCAGAGATTACATATGCAGACATCACTCTATGCCAATTTATGACAAAGTCCAAGCAAGTGCACATGAATGTTGTGGATAGAGTACTTAGATACTTGAAAATGACACCAGGACAAGAGATATTGCAAGTAATGACAATTCGAAATTAGAGACATACTATGACACAAATTAGGGTGGTTGTCCATTCACTAGGAGATCTGTACATGGTACTTAATCAAATTTGGTGGTTCACCTATATCTTGGAGAACAAATAGGCAACATGTGGTGGCAAAGTCCTCAATAGAAGCTAAATATAGAGTGATGGCAACAACATACAGTATCAGAACTAATATCAATTCTTACAACTTTCTTTTCAGAAGCCTCACTCATGATCCTGCTGTATCTGCAATATCTTCACAACATAACAAGTACTTATCAAGTAAGATTGCTATGAAAAGGAAGAACAATAATCTGTTACCTTTTATTTTTAAGAAAAAAGAAAATATTACTCATCAGTCATATTTCCTCCTAATGTCCCCAGACAGTTCTATTTATTTTCCTTTTGAACTACGATCCAAATTTCCTAAAGGTACACGTTTGTTCAAAAGTTAAGGCTGGTAAAACAGAGACAATAAAGTGTAGGACAAAACTAAGGTACAGACTACAGAAATCAGAATAAGAATTTAATCTGGATAATTCATTTAATAAATGTTTAGAATTTAGATGAATAATTATTAAAAGTCTTTGTTGACTTTAATAATAATGGATAATGTATAAAGAACCCCGGATATACAATAATATGTATCCTTCCTAAGACTAATTCTACCGTTGTAAATTAAATTATTCTTTCTTATGTATTTCTAATTATACTAGATGATAATTGATAGCTAATTGTTAACATATATATGCCTCAAGCATAACAACCCAAAGACTTCATTTATATAGCCTTTCTAATCGGTATTTAAAACCTAGGAATCAATATGATTCAGTTGCAAAAGTAATTGCACCGCCTACAGAGACAAAATAATTATATACTTGAAGCAGTCATTGAAGAAAGAGTAAATCGATAAGTAGATGCAATTTTGGAACCAAACTATGCACATTACTCTCACCCAATCTTAGAGTGCTATGTCAGATGATATTGTAGTCAAAATTTAGAAGAGCAGATAGTCCATTTGGCATCTTTATGTTGCTTAGGCAATGATTCTTTCACGGGCTTTCTTTCTCCAATATTTGTAGGGCCAGAAGAAGGTTTTGTCGTTTGAATATTTAAAATTTCATATTTTATTTTGACCAACCGACCTTAATTTATGTGTGTGGGACCTTTTTAGCAAAAAAAGCAAAAGCATTAAGGTAGTAAAGAAATAAAGAAATAATGTGCAAAAGATGGAGTGAGAAAGAAGAATTGAATTAAGAATAATGAGGGAGGTGGTATGTGCTGTCCACTCTATAGCTTAGCTGTGACGACGAAAGAGGTGAAACAATACTAGTTCTTTCATTGCTACTAATACATGATTATTAATGACAACTCACGGTAAAATCAATATCAGAACCAGGGATCAAATAAAAAACTTACTATGTGACTGTTTTTGTTAGGCAACTGGCATTAAAAGAGAATAAAATACCACTTGTACGGCCTGCTAGTCCACCCGTTCCTCCACCATAGTATGATATTGTCCGCTTTGGGCCCAAGCCCGCACGGTTTTGTTTTTGGGCTCCTTCCCAAAAGGCCTCATACTATGTGGAATGGTGGACACTTATAAAGTGGCCAATGTTCCTTCATTTTACCGATGTGGGACTTGGGATGAATCCTAACATGTTTTGACTCAAAAGATAAACATTTAGTCATTTAGCTCAGCTAGTCTGATCACCTACGGATACAATACTATTCAGAATCGCTATAATAGAATCGGTTCCGCCGTTCACCCATATATTCACCCATATATCTTCGCTGGGAATAATGGTGGTGGAAATTAAGGTATAAGAACCGTTGGTGTTTGCGATATCTTGTTGTTCTTGTAACGACAAAGCACGCTCAAGTTCCACCTCTACTTCACCCATTGTTGGTCTCTCATCAGCTTCATATTCCAAGCATCTTACCATCATATCTGCAAACACTTGCCAACACTCCGGTGCAATCTTACCAATCATATTTGGATCAATATTCTCCTCAACAGGCTTCTCCAGAAAATCTCTTGCTTCTCCTTCTCTTACAATGTCGAAAATTGTTCTTCTCCACACAACATCTAGTAGAACTATACCAAATGAGTAAACATCACATTTATCTGTCACGGTACCTTCCATGACATGCTCCGGAGCTGCGTAGCCAACAGTACCTATAAAAGTAAGTATTAGGTTAGTTTAAGTGACAAAAATGAAAATGGATCGTAGTAAGTAGGCTCATGAAGAAATAAAATATTACCTCTAGGCAATACTTGAATTGGTTTAGGCTTTGTCATAAAATGTGCTCCCTTTACGCTAAGGTCGAAATTCGTGATTTTTGGGTGCATGTTGTGATCCAAAAGAATGTTGCTAGGTTTGATATTATGGTGAATGATGGTGCGCTTCAATCCGGCGTGAAGGTAGTGTAGTCCACGCGCTGCTCCAATGCATATCTCTAGCCTTTCCTTCCATGACAGTGCATGCAGGTGTTGATCTAGAGATCCATTGGACATGTACTCGAACACACCAATCTTCTCATCTTTGTGGTTGCAGAATCCTATAAGAGAGATGATATTAGGGTGACCAAGCTGGCAGAGCAACTCTATTTCATTCTTGAACTGTTCTTCCCGTTCACGATATTTTGTCACAATATTAAATCGCTTCACTGCGAGTTCATAATGAGAAGCATCATTATGTCGGAAATAACCTTTGTATACTTCACCAAATCCTTCTCTTGCAATTATTCTCTTTTCATCAAAGTTGTTGGTTGCTTTCTTAAGATCAGACAGAGAAAAAGGACGGCACAGCTCTTGGATTACTGTTGGATACCCTCTGCCACTACCACTTGAATTTCCCTCGCCAAAACAACATTTCACAAACATTATTATTCTGAAACTTACTAGTACTACTTCCCTGTCACTTACCAAAAACATTCACCTCTAGAGTGGATGTGGATCCTCTATAGACTACAGCAATCTCCAATTCTTCTTTCTCACTCCATCTTTTACTCATACATTCTTTATTTCTAATTTTCTACCTTTATGCTTTTGCTTTTTTGCTGGAAAGGTGCCTCCTTTCACTATCCAATTTCTCATAATAATAACCTTATCTCCGACACAATGATGCTTCTCTTTTCATTTTTCTCATAAAAATGGATAGTGATCGTACGCACATGTAAGTTGTAAAATAATTGAATTTTCTTATATGTTAGAGTTCACAAGTTACTGTTAGTCACAACACTGGTTTGATTGTAGTGGTTAGCTTGACGCTAACCTCATTGCAATCAATTAAATGATATATACTTTTTCTGTTATAATTATATGTTTGTGTTGGCTAGTCCAATCGAGTCAAATCGGTTTGATCTATAATTCAGCTGGCCCGAGTTGAGTCAGATAACACTAAATATAACTATTAGCAAGAATTATTCTTCCATAGTTAGATTTAGAGCATTATTAAAATCTAACCAAACAGACATTGTAAAGGGGATTTTTAGTGCCCTTTAAAATGAAACCCTAAAAATCTTTTAAAAAAAATAGAACAAAGGTACAGTACAAAAATTATATTATTGGCTCAAAGATGTGTCGTGATTTTGAATAATTTTGTCTCATTATAAAACAGTTGAAAAGAAATCACAAATGCAATTGGGAAAAAAAAGTATAAATTGCATAGTTACTTATAATCTTATCATATTCAATAGGAAATCAACTTTTTTACAAAGATTATATCCATTGAAACTACATTGATGGGCAGGGAGAAGTCATTATCTCATCTGATATATAAATTAATTTTTTTAGCCATACTACAAATATTGACCTAACTAATGCTTAACTGCTGAATATCAAGAAAGTTGAATATCAGCCTCCTTAGTCCTCCCCAATTGTTCCTTCATAATCAAATTAATTTGTCTATCACATGTTTACATAGAGAACAATTAAAAGACAACCAGAGATATTAAGGTCATGAATAGGATAAACTATAGCCAGGCACGGATCTACGTTATGTGTAGTGGTGCCCGCAATACACATATTTTTTTTATTCAAAAAATAATATATTTTAAAAAATAAAATTATATTTTAATAAAATAAATATATATGTTTAAATTATTATATGTATAAAATATAAATTTAAAGAAAATATTTATTTATTTGATGTCTATCAAATTTTAAAGGAAATTAATTTTTTTATATAATAAAAAAATATTCCTTAATAACAAATTAAAATTTTAAAATTTAAATTATAACATATATATATATATATTAATACTCACATATATAATGTAATATGTTAAAAAAATTAATTTTTAATAAAATAACATTTGTAACATACATGTTTACTTTTTGTATTTTTTATTTATTATATACGTCGATTAAAAAAATCAAAATAATAAGATTATATATGTTGATTAAAAAAAATTAAAATAGGAAAGATCGAAAGATTTATGTTATATTTAGAATTTTTATTATAAAATATATTTTAAAATAAATTATCATCTAAAAATATTTTTTATTTTATGTATTATAAACTGATCAAATATTTATTATATATAATTAAAATTTAGGCTAAAATATGTTTTTAGTCCCTTAAATTTAGGGTAAATTTATTTTTGATCCCTCAAAATTAAAATTATTATTTTTAATTCCTGTAATTTCAAAAAATCTTATTTTAGTCTTTATATTCAAATTTTGTTAAAAATTTATCAAACATTATTGCATAAAATTTATTTATTAGTGTCCCTGTAAGTGAAAATATCACATTAAATCTAATATTATTACATAACTGTCTTAATTTGTCATTTTTAGATATGTTATTGATCATCTGAGGGACTAAAACAAAATTTTTAAAAATTTTAGGGACTAAAAATAATTGTTTTAAATTTAAGGGACCAACAATAAATTTATCTTAAATTTGAGGGATTAAAAACATATTTAAACCTAAAATTTATAATAAATTATGTAAACAAATAAATATTATTTTTGAATATATAAATTATATTTAAAATTTGAATAAATAAGTATTTTTAAACATATAAATTATATTTTAAATTTATGATAAATAATTTCTATTGTAGCATAAAATTGTTTTTTATCTATTGATAATTTATTTTGAAAATATTAAATTTTAATTCATAAATAATTATGATAAATAAAAATAAAATAAGATATATAGTTAAGCAAATCTATAAAAATATTCATGTAAAAGAAAAATTTAAAAATACTTTCGTGTAAGATAGTCGTTCATATTTAATATATATAAGAGTTTATAATATAACTTTTAGATGTTAAAAAAATTATAAAATTTCATTAAATATTAAAATTAAATGATTGTAAAATAATTATTGAATTTATAGGTAAAATTTTAAAAATTATATTAATTATACAAAATACTTTATATTAATATTTGTATATTAGAAATATTAGAAATATTAAAAAATGAAATATTATGTTAAATTACAAATAAATAATCTTAAAATTTTTCTGAAATTATACGTGGAAAATTTATAATTTTCAAATTTATATAAATTATACAAATTATTTGTAAATTTAATGTTTGTCAAAAATTTAGTTTTTTTACATTCAATTCCAACAAAGAAAAAGATTAGCTACTCATGGTAGTGAGAGCAATCTCCATGTATAATGAAAGCATAGAAATAAAAGATTAAACTCAAGATCTGTGTCTCTAGATAGTCTTGAAGCTTTCCTCCTTCTTCAAAGTGTTGTTCTCTCTTTGTTTTTGTTCTCCTCTTTCTTTTTCTCTCTCTAATTCTTTATATATGTCCATGAAAATAAAATAAAGTGTGTTGTAAGTGAGCAATTCACTCAGTCCTTTCTAAATGACTGAGCGAGTTTTAGAATTCTTCATGGTGAAGAAAACTCCATTCACTAAGCTCTTTGTAGTCTGTTGAGCCCTTTTTAAAATGAATTTTTCTCGCTTTTTTGGGCCAAATCTTCTTAACCATTTCTAAATGGTTGAGCGGATTTACTCTACAACAAATTCTTGCTCTGTCTTTGATCCATTGAGTGCATATGAATTGGTTGACCAATTTTGTAAGTTTTGGAGGCCTTGGGACTTGATCAAATCTGTATGAAAAATAAAAGTTTATTAGTCCAAAATTTATAACTCTTTACAAACTAACTTATTTACACATCCTTTTGAGTTTTATTATTTTAGGGGGTTGAAATTAGGTTTTCTTTTAAAACTAGTTAAATAAGTGTCAAAAGAGTAAAATCTTATAAGTAAAAATGATACTAATTAAATTAAAGAAAAAACCTATTAACTCAAGTTAGATAAGTGTCAAAATGATCATATATTTTAGATAAAATAGACACTTATCACTAATTAAATTATTTTGAATATTTTCACATGTGTGCAAGTAGGTGCACCCTCCTGCTAATTATTATTTTACATGGGGAAATTTTAACTTTGGTTGCATGGGTGTGGAACGTGGTGCACATACGTGCCATTTGATATCTAGGAAAAAAATTCACAATAACAAAGTATGAAAATCACACAACTCACACCAACTCAATTCTTTCAATTCAATCGATTAAAAACATAATTAATACTTAAAACATACTCTTATACCATCAATTAACCAAACACATGCATTACTTTCACAATTCATCATTAATTTTATCAATCTTTTCTAGGAATGACCAAAGAGTTCGTACCCTGTTGAGCTTTCCGTTGAAACACTTTTGTTAATATTTGTAAATTCGTTTAATTCTATCAACGGTCTCAAAGACGGCAAGTATACCGGCCGTTCAAGTAGTAAAAATATCGTATCCACAGGGATTAGAAGGTAAAATAAGCATTTATTGACTATTCGTGACTAAAGAATAATTCCAATTTCATAGTTTGTGCAGTGAATTCAAAGTTGTGACTATTGGAATGAAAGCTGTAAATAAATATTGTTTTGTGAGTGGAAAAGGTAAGGAATGGTATTGTGGTATTGTGAGGTTGTGGGGGTCAGATTTCACCAAACGTAACACTAATGTATCCTTAATCTCTTGTTGAATTCATTGCTTAGTCAACCCAAAGTCATAAATTAAGATATAGAAATTATCTAAATAAAATTTGTTTCTTTTAATATAGCCCTTTTCCATATATATCACCTGGTATTGAATCGTCTGGTAACATATTTAAGAAACTCAGATATTTACGGGTCATCTTCGTGAACAATAAACTCTATAAATACCTGTGAATTGCACGGTATAAAATCTGCTATATTTCACATCAGTGGCTTGTGGCCAAACTCTATTTGCAATCTCACGGACTCTTAAGATTGATAATCAAATTAATTAGTCTATCACATGATCACCCTTAAAAGTTTACATAGAGAACAATTAAAAGATAAGCAGATATATTAAAGTTATGGATAAATTATAACCAAATGGTTAAACACGAATAAATTAAGAACCAGAAATGGAAGATAGATGAAATATGTTAGAAAATAGTAATAAAAGTAGTAAAAGAACCAATAAAATCCAAAGATAGGTATGCAACAAGGCAAAACAAAAATATATGGCAGAAGCTACTGTGACAGAATATCAGGTTGCATTTTGCTATACTTCGCTAACAATTAATCAAGATGCATCTCTAAATCATTTCTGGTAAACAAGAGAAGATTCCCTTTGCTCTTTTTGGCTGATAAAGCGATAGTTACGAAGCATCTGAATTATGTACAGTATACAACTAAAAGGATCATATCTCAGCAAGTTACTATTATTTTCTAACTGTTTATATGTTATTCATGAAAATTTTCACCGTTAGATAATACAAACCTGTATAAGTTAGAAATTCGAAAACCCTCTATCTAACAATTTGTGAAACCTTTTGATCGGCTTCAAACCAAATGACAGAATTAAGCAGAAGATCATAAAATTAATACTGATTATGGTAGCTGAACGAGTTTTCCTTTATGAAAGGTACTATTGGATTTTTTTATTGTCAAATTTTCATTTTTTTTTTCTAAGATTGGACAAAGAAAATCGAAGACAATAGGCAATATCTCTTTTATACGATTGTGTTCTATAGTTCTATATCAATTTGTAGTCTTGTAGAGTTATGGAGTCGACTTTATACACAAGTGAAAGAGAAAAAATATCAGACTCAAAACAAGAATTCCTTTACTGCTTTCAAATTTATACTAATTCAAGAAAATTACAAAGACAGCTTCAGATACAATTAAAATGCTAGAAGAGAGAACTGGTAAAAAAGCTAGAGATATATCATTTAAACTTAACTGCTGGAAAAATATGCATCGACTCAAAAAGGTAAAACCCATGGTTTGAGCTCACCAAATTACCTATGAATCGTCTTTTATGAATGGCTGACTTACCAAGCTACCATAAGTATCGGTTTGTATGATATCTTCCCGTTGCTTGTATCGCTTAATAATGGTTTTGGACAATAAGTTATAATGAGCATCAGTGTTTGTGATATCTGTTTGTTCCTGCAAGGACAGAACATGCTCAAGTTCCACCTCTACTTCACCCATTGTTGGTCTCTCATCCGCATCATGCTTCACACATCTTAGGGTGATATCTATAAAGACTTGCAAACACTCTGGGGCAATCTTTCCTTTGATATTCGGATCAATATCCATCTCAAGAGGATTCTCCCAAAGATTTCCTCTTATTGCCATGTCGTAAACTATTCTTCCCCACACAACTTCTAGTAGAACAACACCAAATGAGAAAACATCATATTTATCTGTAACGGTATTGTCCCTGAAAAACTCAAGTGAAAGTATTAGCTTAGTTTAACTCACAAAAATGAAAATCCATTGTAGTAAATAAACTAATAAAATAAGAAAATTACCTACAGTATATACTTTAATTGGCTTAGGCTTTGACGTAAAACGTGCACCCTGTATGCTAAGGCCGAAATCCGTGAGTTTTGGGTGCATGTTGTGATCCAAAACAAAGTTTTTAGATTTGATGTTACAGTGAAAAATGGTGACCTTTGCTCCGGCGTGAAGGTAGTGTAGTCCACGCGCTGCTCCAATGTAGATCTCTAGCCTTTTCTTCCATGACAGTGCTTGTATGTGTTGATCTAGAGATCCATTGGACATGTACTGTAGACCTCTACAGTATATACTTTATATGGTTTTAGTTTTGCTCTGTCATTCATGTAGGAATTGCCATATAATTGAAATTGTTAACTTTCTGTAATAATCACTTTAAAAATCATATATAGTTATTTCTAATTGGTAGACAGTATATTAAAACTAAGTTAACAATAAAACAGCCCTTATTGTAAACATAGAACCTCATCCCCTTCCCACTGGAAGTCTCATCCAAAAAGAGGTAAAATTGAGACTTAACATACCCACGAATAAAATCAGCTAAGAATAATAAATGGATACTCACAAGTAACGAATATGAGTATTTTTCTTTGTTTATAAACAAGGCGGGAGTGGGATGATTTTGGTAGTATCCATACCTGTAAGTATTTGTTAAATAAAATTACTTAAATATCCATATTTTTATCTTGTATTTTTTTATATTATTTTTAATATTTTAAAAATAAAAATTGATTGCAAATTCAAAAACTAATGTCAATTTTTTTTATCTTTAATATTTCAATATAATACAAGTTTAAAGTTATTTGTAATACTTTTATTTTTTTAAAAAAATCACAAATATTCATATGAATATTTGTGGGTATTTATAAAATTTGTGAGTACCTGCTTATCGGATTCCTATGTCGGTATGAGGTGAGTATGAAATTATTTTTTTTTTCAATGCGATAGGGATAGGTATCCTACTACTTGCCCCACAGCCCTATAGGATCCCATTGTTATCCCTAATATTTTCCCTCTATGAATCAAGGGTTTCTACGCGCACTACAGATACTCACATATTCACAAATAACCCACAAAACACATACAAATCATACGAAGTACAAATTTTCAATGTATAAATCAAACCATGAATTCTCCCAAGAACTGACAATTAGATTGAGGTCAATCTCACTACTTAACAGATAACCTACACCTCATAAAGAGAACTCTCCTTACCTGAATGAATGCTAGATGATTCACGCAAGCCTCCAAGTGTACTCCTACAAAAAGAAAACTGATAATAACCTCTCATAACTTCTTATCCCACACTTAACTCCTCTTATTAAAAGATCAATCCCAAGTTAACTATCCTTTCCTTCACACATTAATTAAAATCATAATATATATAACCAAAATACATGGACAAAAGTGAAACACATATTTATCTCTAATAATTATTAGTTTAAATTATACTTTTGGTCATTTGTCTTACTTTTTAGATTTAGTTTGGTTCTTTATCTATTAAAATGTTCATTTTTGTCCTTTATTTTTTTTGTTATATTTGTATGAAGTTGATCCTTTTAAAATAATAATTATTTTCAATTTTGCAGCATGATTTTGAATCAAATTTTTTACTTATTTAAAACGTAAAATTTGTAATATTAAATTCATCTATTTGAAAATCATAAAATGCAATTCATGTTTGAATTAAAAAATGCTACAAATATAGTGAAAATTGTGTAAAAAATATATACCATTATTAACTAGAAAATAATATAAAATTAGATATTTTAAAATCTTCGATTTTCACTATGTATATAACACTTTTAGTTTAAACTTTAAATGCATTTAATAGTTTTTATATAAATAAATCTAATGAAATGAATTTCAATTTTTGAATCAGTCAAAAAATGATTCAAAATGATTAAATTATTTAAGAGATAAAGGACCAAAATAAAAATTTTAAAAGATAAAAGATCAAGGTGAATCTAACAAATAAGATAAAAGAACAAAAATATAATTTAGGACCTAATTATTATAACAAATAATTTCACAAACTTTTTTTATTTAATAAAAAAACTCATAATTACTTAAAAACCTTTAATTTTTTTTTATAAAATCTTTTTTTATTAATTAAAACATTATTTTAATAATTTAAAAAACTTAGGATATTATAGTTCACACCAAAGATATTTTTCAATTGAAAGTCATAAATTAAGATATAGAAATTATCTAAATAAAATTTGTTTCTTTTAATATAGCCCTTTTCCATATATATCACCTGGTATTGAATCGTCTGGTAACATATTTAAGAAACTCAGATATTTACGGGTCATCTTCGTGAACAATAAACTCTATAAATACCTGTGAATTGCACGGTATAAAATCTGCTATATTTCACATCAGTGGCTTGTGGCCAAACTCTATTTGCAATCTCACGGACTCTTAAGATTGATAATCAAATTAATTAGTCTATCACATGATCACCCTTAAAAGTTTACATAGAGAACAATTAAAAGATAAGCAGATATATTAAAGTTATGGATAAATTATAACCAAATGGTTAAACACGAATAAATTAAGAACCAGAAATGGAAGATAGATGAAATATGTTAGAAAATAGTAATAAAAGTAGTAAAAGAACCAATAAAATCCAAAGATAGGTATGCAACAAGGCAAAACAAAAATATATGGCAGAAGCTACTGTGACAGAATATCAGGTTGCATTTTGCTATACTTCGCTAACAATTAATCAAGATGCATCTCTAAATCATTTCTGGTAAACAAGAGAAGATTCCCTTTGCTCTTTTTGGCTGATAAAGCGATAGTTACGAAGCATCTGAATTATGTACAGTATACAACTAAAAGGATCATATCTCAGCAAGTTACTATTATTTTCTAACTGTTTATATGTTATTCATGAAAATTTTCACCGTTAGATAATACAAACCTGTATAAGTTAGAAATTCGAAAACCCTCTATCTAACAATTTGTGAAACCTTTTGATCGGCTTCAAACCAAATGACAGAATTAAGCAGAAGATCATAAAATTAATACTGATTATGGTAGCTGAACGAGTTTTCCTTTATGAAAGGTACTATTGGATTTTTTTATTGTCAAATTTTCATTTTTTTTTTCTAAGATTGGACAAAGAAAATCGAAGACAATAGGCAATATCTCTTTTATACGATTGTGTTCTATAGTTCTATATCAATTTGTAGTCTTGTAGAGTTATGGAGTCGACTTTATACACAAGTGAAAGAGAAAAAATATCAGACTCAAAACAAGAATTCCTTTACTGCTTTCAAATTTATACTAATTCAAGAAAATTACAAAGACAGCTTCAGATACAATTAAAATGCTAGAAGAGAGAACTGGTAAAAAAGCTAGAGATATATCATTTAAACTTAACTGCTGGAAAAATATGCATCGACTCAAAAAGGTAAAACCCATGGTTTGAGCTCACCAAATTACCTATGAATCGTCTTTTATGAATGGCTCACTTACCAAGCTACCATAAGTATCGGTTTGTATGATATCTTCCCGTTGCTTGTATCGCTTAATAATGGTTTTGGACAATAAGTTATAATGAGCATCAGTGTTTGTGATATCTGTTTGTTCCTGCAAGGACAGAACATGCTCAAGTTCCACCTCTACTTCACCCATTGTTGGTCTCTCATCCGCATCATGCTTCACACATCTTAGGGTGATATCTATAAAGACTTGCAAACACTCTGGGGCAATCTTTCCTTTGATATTCGGATCAATATCCATCTCAAGAGGATTCTCCCAAAGATTTCCTCTTATTGCCATGTCGTAAACTATTCTTCCCCACACAACTTCTAGTAGAACAACACCAAATGAGAAAACATCATATTTATCTGTAACGGTATTGTCCCTGAAAAACTCAAGTGAAAGTATTAGCTTAGTTTAACTCACAAAAATGAAAATCCATTGTAGTAAATAAACTAATAAAATAAGAAAATTACCTACAGTATATACTTTAATTGGCTTAGGCTTTGACGTAAAACGTGCACCCTGTATGCTAAGGCCGAAATCCGTGAGTTTTGGGTGCATGTTGTGATCCAAAACAAAGTTTTTAGATTTGATGTTACAGTGAAAAATGGTGACCTTTGCTCCGGCGTGAAGGTAGTGTAGTCCACGCGCTGCTCCAATGTAGATCTCTAGCCTTTTCTTCCATGACAGTGCTTGTATGTGTTGATCTAGAGATCCATTGGACATGTACTGTAGACCTCTACAGTATATACTTTATATGGTTTTAGTTTTGCTCTGTCATTCATGTAGGAATTGCCATATAATTGAAATTGTTAACTTTCTGTAATAATCACTTTAAAAATCATATATAGTTATTTCTAATTGGTAGACAGTATATTAAAACTAAGTTAACAATAAAACAGCCCTTATTGTAAACATAGAACCTCATCCCCTTCCCACTGGAAAAGGAAACACAAAATCACTTACTGGTCACCAATGTATTTTCCCTGTGTGAAGTAGCCAACGGCAAGTTCTTCAACTAGATCATGTTGCTTGTCAAGACCCTGCTGTCTTGCATAATATATAAGCCTGTGGCTGTCAATAGTGCTTCCCCTGTAGATAATTGTTGAGATTTCCGTTGAAGTACTTTTTATTATAATT